TGTACCTGAATAAATAATAAGTCTTCTTCGGCATTATTACTAATATTTAACCGCAAAACAAGCAAGAATTTTATTACAGATAATATTTTGATTTACACGCAATATTCATACGGAGAAACAGACAATTTATATGACATATATTCATGCGTATCTGATCGAGTGACCCGTCTATAAATTACCCAAGCCCCCCCCCCCCCCTACACCCGCCTCTAATGGCGTCGACGACAAACTTTACATGTATATGTTATCTCTGACACCGGACCGCAGACCCTTCACTTCTTAAGTGGTTATACTTCACCCTGTCCAAAGTAAGCCTCGGACTAATATTGAATGTGAGGTTTTGAGTAAACAGTGTATACACACCGCAAGCGAAATACTTAGTCAGCTTTACATGTGTGTTATTCCAGTAAGTATACTTATTATACATGTGTGTGACTTATAAATAACTTCTCTTCACGTTTGCAAATTAATACTGCCTCCACCATTCTGCATTAGTTTTAATTTCTCTACTATATAGTCTAGATGAAAATCACAGGTTTTCGTACTAGCCAGCTATGTTGTTTACCTTGTGAACCTACTATCTTGTTTGAACAGAAGAAAGTGACCGAAAAAGATCGTTAATTCTTTGATTCGGTAAGAAGCCCATCTAGTACATTAGTGTATCATTTTATTCATGTCATTTCTTTGTGATCTATAAATTAGTAATATAGAAACAAAAGACTTAAAACGTAAGTAAAAGCTGTTACTGTAACTGTTTCAATATAATAAAACCAAAACACAAACCATAGTGATATTATTATCATTACGGATTTATTAAATTTCCAACTCCTCCAATTTTCTTCTTATTAATTTCGTTTGGGATTCGAAGACAGTTTAATTTTTTTCCTGAGACTTCCCGAGTGTTATAACTTTTTTATGTTAGAGGTGGCAGACGAGTCACCTGATGGAAAGTGACCATCGCCGCCCATGAACGTCTGCAACTCAGGAGTCACAAACACGTCATTAACTCGGTGTGTTCCTGGGTCACTGCTGTTGATCCTGGTGTACAGGAGTTACAGTGGTGGTCATGTGGGAGGGATTAGTCCCAAATAAATTAAGTCATATCGTTATCATCTTCTAATCCCAAAATTATTATTTTTCCTAGTTTATTTTATAGCAATCGTATTTAGAGGACACCAAGGAACGAAAGGTACATTGGCGAAGGGGTTTAAGTCTTAGGGTCACGTACAAGTATGGCCGTCTGTGGTGGGGAAAGCCACCAGGACATGGACCTCTAAACTTAAAATATCTCTATATATAATATACTAATAAAATGTATCACTAACGTAACACTCAATCACACTCTCTGCATACTAACATCACCTAAAAATGCCTACTAAACATTAAAACGCATGTCCACGCACGCATATACACACACACACACATAGAAACACCCTAATTAAGCATAAACTAACCAAATGTTGAAATATGAACGGAACGATGTCTACACCGTACACACATCCCTATATAAACACTTGCTCATTACTAATTCGTTTGATTAGCCTGTTTAAATACCTGTGGGTAATTAGTGTGGGTGTGTAACACCCGCTCTAGGCATTTTAACATGTTACAGAAAGGTTCGGTAAACTATAAAACTGTTATATTCAGCCAATACATTGAGCTCGAAAAAAGAAACTTCGAAACTTTTTGGTTGTTTATGTTGTATGTAAAACCCATACAATGGTAGACATTTTTACTGAACGGAGATACGGAATCTTGCTTGATACGAAACGTTTTTTTTTATTTGCCTTTTTTATTCGACATTCCGATTTTAAATTTGAATGTCAAATAGATAAATTATTTTTAATGGTCTATTGTTCGAAATTACAAATTATTTGAATAATTTTTGCACATTTTTTTTCTTTTAATTGAACAATTGAATTTCAAATCAGTTTAGAATAGGGTTTCTTGTTTCGAATGAGTTTTAAAAGTGGTTCCGTCTTCCGATTTTTTTTTAATTAAAAAAAAACAATGCTGATGAACGTAAATGTAGTAACCAGTACCACAGCACATAGTTGAGGCATTATCGCTATGTTACAGATCACTCATCAAACTATCACAATCGACAAACGAAATCAAGGGGTGAGTGTGTGTTAGTTTCATGTCGTCGCACCCACACTTGCATGATCACTTGCAGCTTTTTGGAACCTGTGTCAGGTTCAACTGTCTTGTGAACTGGCTGATGGATAGAGTTTTTTAAGTATTCAATCTTTTTAGAAACAAAATTTATCTTATTTGATTAAAATTTAGTCTTACAGATGAGATTACTTAATATATCCTCCTGTTTTCTAATCTCCTTTAACGTACTATATATGTATATATTTCAAAACACAGAAAAAATTAATATGTCATGTACCTAAAGTAAATAAGAACTGTCTTGTTGAATAATGCTTAAAAAGGCGGCAATAATTGGTCAAGGTATATTAAGAACCAGCCAATACCCGCGACTTCGTTGACTTGTAATTTGAAAAGCGCTGCCTTAGTGGTGTAGTACGGTACGCTACTACAGTCTATGGAGCCTTGGGTTCGATTCCCAGACCGTGCAAAATTTTATAAAAAGCCTAAGGTACTCCTTATATAGACAGATACCTGGTACTAAAATATTATCAAAATCGGTTGAGCTGTTTTGGAAATTACCCGGAACAAACAGGCATCCCGACAAACAAACATTTTTAAACTGATTTAATGTTTAAACCCATGCCTAACATAGGTATCATGCAAATAACCGTGTGAGCCTGAAAAAAAACCTATCATTTTGACATTAAAAACAGGCACTTTATTAATTTGTATAGATATCATGCTGTTTATAGTAGGACTAATACTATACTCGTATTGGTCTTTTCAAGTCTCATCTTTTATTTATTTTAGTGTTTACCATGAAATAGGGTTTCGAATCTGACAACACTGCTCAGTTGATAAGACAGTACAACATACTTTGTTCCAAGACGCTGCTCTCTAGAATTTTCCATAGATTATTAATTAGCAGATTAGCATGTTGTTGTATTTAAAACTAGAAAATACGTTTATTTGTGCCTTTTAGTACCCATGTAAATTAACCGGAGTAATATGACGGCCTCCCCTCCATTGGGGTGGAAGTGGCCACACAAAGAGCGACAACTCACTTATACCTGTTGCTTACATGTGACAATGGGCGGTGGTGTTCACCTGCCACCAGGTGATCCATCTAGTCGTTACTTCTATCCAACATCTTGAATTACAAAAAGTACTGAAAGGAGGCAACGGATTTAATCAATATTATTTGCGATGAGTACAGATTAATTTTAATTGAATTATTTCAAGGTGAATTATAAATTCAGAAGAAGCAATCAGAATCGCTACTAATGAAGTAAAGTAAACGGTTTTCCTTAAATAACTTTGGATAAAATATTAATTTCGGTCTCAAGAGTTTTATCTTAATTGAATCACAAAAATCGATGTCTTTTATGTTATTGCGTTGTTCATCACAAATGAAATTGCTGTTTTTTATTATATTTAGATATTGTTACTAGCGATTCTTATAATAATAACTTTCAAAGAACTGTTTATATTTATTCTTTATAGAGACGATTGTTATCTGTACGCATGATGTAGAATAGATGTGTCTTTTATTTTAAAATCTTGTAGCAGTAGTATTTTTATGTTATATTAATGTTATTTTATTTTGATAGCATGTCATTTATATAAATACAAATATTCTCTATCCACTGCTGTTCATAATCATCAACATCAACAGTCAACTGCTGGACATAGGCCTCTCCTTGGAAAGGAGGTTTTGGCCTACTACCATCCACAGCGGTTACAGTTTCTCAATGAGTATGGGATAAGACTAGAATAAGTATGAAATGAGATTTTCAAACCTGGTGGGACGATATGTGTACTTATTTTAAATGCACTCAACGTAAAATCTACATACAAAATACTACATATTCCTTCCGGCTCGAGGGACCATATGGTCACGTAATAAGGTTGTGTTTATCTGGCAAGAGATAAAAGACTTGTGCTTTGTATGTACTCATGTTACCCCATGTTGAAGTAATTAACAGACATAAACCGTTTAACTTTAATAAAAGGGGTAGAGGATACCTGAAGGGAGAGTTCAGTCGATGCGTAGAGGTAAAGTGTTATTGCACAGATAAAAGTTAATACCTATTATGCAACGTTTATGTTTTTGGCTTTGTATGCGAATATACTTATCCCTCCTACACTCCCACCACTGTAACTCCTGTACACGAAGACTTGAATAGCAGTGGCCCATAAACATATATGCCACTTTTAAAGTCCCAGGATAAATTAAACAAAGCAACATTGCAAAACAATGCATTGGTTAGGATATCGTTATTTCTTCAAATTAACTTTACATCTGATATAACGGTTTAAGTTATACTGTAGTTGCAATAACCTTGATTGATTGATTGAATGATTTGATCACGTCGTGACGTCTTCAGGACATTGCAATAATTTCTGTAAAATTAATCTTAAAATAATACCGTTTGTATAGTGTCCTCGAAAGGGTAGGCAGAAAAATATTTAATACCTACCTTTTGACAACTGTATTTTGGTCCCAGTCACGCAATAGGGGACAAGCTTATGACCATTTACCGGGTCCTGTAAATTAAATTAAAAATAACCTTTTTAGATCTTTGTCCACAAGCTACGCATACATAATTTTGTCTGTATATACGTTTCGATTTGGAACTAAACCAATATGAAATTTCTATATTACCGTTATATAAACACAAGTATGTACCTTTATTGACTTTCCAAGATTTGAACTTGTACATATGAGAAATTGTAGCAAACAGAACTCGGTTGTCTACGAGCCGTAGCTCTCTACGAAGCTACGAGACAACAGTAGCATACAAAAGGTTCTTCTCTCTTCTTATTATGATATCTTTTAAAACGAAATGCCATTAAGCGAAAAGAATTGACCTTTGTGACCAGTATTCTTGATTGTTTCCCAGGATCACTTGCCTACACCTGCCCCTGGCTTCCAAGTGGATCCACGTGGGCACGGAGCGAGGCAACGTGCACGTGGTCAACATTGAGACCTTCACGCTCTCCGGCTACGTCATCAACTGGAACAAAGCAATCGAAGTGTAAGTACTAGTATTTATTAACCGACTTGAAAAAATGTGGTACTAAATTCCACTGCGTTTTTTGTGTGAACAGATTTTTATAATTCTATTTTTAATTATTTATACGGATTGTACTCACGGATAGTCCCATTTACGTTTGAAGAATACGTTCTCACCTTTAAGTGTAAAAAATTAAGTGGTGGGAAATACAGGTTTTTATGTTGAAGTGATGTATGAAGTATGTAATAATTTTTCAAAAGTGAGAGGCCTTCAAAGCGGTGTCCATAGCTAACTTTCTTACAACCTTTTTATTGGGTTTATAATGTGTACGAGTATAATGTTGTGAGAATCTCTATTTGGTGAGATATTATGTATGTATTTAAAGTAAAACATTTATTCTGTTCTTAAATCCATCGTATTTCTGCTATCTTAGTCTGCTTTTCCGTTAACTGAATTAATAAGTTAAGAAATCCCTTTCTTCTTATTATAATTGAGTTCTTTCAGTTTAGGAAACAGTCTGTAACTTTTTTGTTTACACAACACACAACACAATACTTGGTATAGATGATTCCAATTTAGCTACAAACGTAATTTCATCACAAGACATCTTACCAATCTGTTTACAACAAGAGCCTCTTAAATACCGCTAATTCTTACTAATTCTTACTAATCCTGTACAGCAATTAAGGACTCTAAGGGCAGCCAGTAAAGCCGCTAAGTGAGTCGAATACAATCTTCGTCTAGTTGATTAAAAGCCCTGATTAATCAAAAGATGTATACTCCCATCCCCTGCGACTTTGAGGGAAGGGATACAATAATGAATACTGCCTTTAGTCATCAGCATAGCTTACGTGCCTAATATATTGTCTTCTTGTAGGGCGGTTATCGCGTAACAAATCAGAAAATCAAATCAGTTTTGCTTCGTAACTTTCTATGTTGCACGCATGGAAGTTTTTTGTGATGAAGGGACATTACTATAGATTAGTATTATAAAAAGCTAGACGCCAATTAACTGATGTAACTGATTAAATCGATTAAACTGATGTGGTCTGCTATCTCTCTTATCGTGTAAATTGTTAGTTTTTTATTAACAATCATTATATATTCAAAAGCCGTTAATCAAATATAAATACGGACTAAGCAAAGTATGTGGTCTACTAATGTCTATAGAAATAACGGGTGAGCCTCACAGTTGTCACATATGACCTGTAACATCTAGCATTTCATGTCGTCATGTATGTCGTCAGCAGCGTCAGATAGGCTGCTGACGACATACTCTGTCACCGCGGGCACTCATTCATCATCAAATCAAGATAAGCTTACTTCCCCTACTTTTTCCCTTTTCACTAATTAATCCCACAGATCGCAGGAAATCAAAAGAAATGATTTACATAAAAAACTAAAGGGCTATAACTTAATAATGACACAAAACCCACTGAGAGAAATGGTTCAAACTCTACTGTTCTAAAATCAGCTGTTGTAAAAGTAAGGTGCTATCTGTTTTGACGTTACCAGAAGTACCAAGTATTTGCCAAATTCTAAGACAAATGCCACGAGAAGGCTAACTCGTACCGCAGCATGATAATGGTTGTGATTACGTTTATGCGCCGTGGTGTCACTCCTGAACCACTTGCCTTACTACTCGTAACGATGTTAATTATCTAACATATACGTGCGAATGGGACCTTACATGAGATTTAAAAGAAAATATTGTAAATTATTTGTTGATACTTACCTAAAAAAATATGGAAAAACATATACTATGTGAAATATATAAATATTGGTTTCGGAGTTTGTGTGATTTCTATGTGTAATATGTATGTATTGACAAATTTGTATTGTAAAGACAAAAACTATATACGTATACAATATAAATCTAGCGCCCAATAAATTGAGCACTTGAATGATTTATGTAATAGGTATGCAACTCGTATCTGGCCACTCTCTTTTATTGTTAGTGTCGTGACAATAGATGCTTTATGGGCTCGTAACATAGAAAGTAGCGCCATTATATTTTAAAATGTGTTTTTATGACACATCGCATGGACTGCACGGATGGCGTAGTGGTTTAACCGGTCGCCACGCCGCTTCCTATTACGCCGAGTGTTGTGGGTTCAAACCCCACATGGGACGACACTTTGTGTGATCCACAGATTGTTGTTCTGAGTCTGGGTGTTTTTTGTGTCCGTTTCATGTATGTTTGTAAATTCACCCGCGACACAGGATATATTCCTAATGCGAGAGTTGTCTTTTTAAAAAAAAAAAAAATTGTTGGGGATTACGTATCTGTGAACTTGTGCAAACAGAAAAGGTGTGGGTAAATATTTGTTTGATGTTTGTGCCCTACTTCGAAATAGTCCAATGAAAGTAAGAGGTCGACAGGCGACAATTTCCACCTGCGTACACATTGCTTTTTATAGCTTACTTACATAAGCTGTATTATTACGTGTATTTTCGCTCATACGCACACGTGAGCTATAATGTTAAACAATAACGCTTAAAAATAAAAATATAATTTGTTTTTAAGCGTTACTGTATTACGTTACATAATAACATCAAAAATGAAGAGACAGCTAAATTATTTGCAAACTAATATTTTGACTTGTTTAATTTTATATGATAATATTCAAAATTATGATCAAAATATTGACCCCTCTATCGTAGTTAAGCGATTCAGCCTTTCATTTTTGTTTAGAATCAATTATATTCTTATAAGATTTTCTGAAATTTACTCGTATGTTTGGGTTAGTGGCTAGTAGTTTTTCCCCGTTTTGTTACCAACTAATAACGGCTATTATGCTATGTTTGACGCGCCAGTGATTTCAAAAATACTAAGCTTGCCGCTACACATACCTATAGATAACTTAATATGTACATACATACATAGTACCTATAAATTATACACACACACCACCACCACCACCAACAGCCTATAACAGTCCACTGCTGGACATAGGCCTCTCCTTAGAAAGGAGGTTTTGGCCTACTGTACCACGCTGGTCAAACGGGTCGGTATAGGGTTTGTTTCAAGTTTTCCTTCTCTCAGTGCTGTCGTCCTGCGTAGTTTGCTCCCTTAGTCGGCTCTTACGACACCCACGGGATGAATAGGGGTGGTGACATTCCGTATTCTTAATCCGTACTACTCCTACTACGTCCTACACCACACGGACATACACACACCCATGAAATGCATGATGCTCATTACACAATCATTTATCCCAGGTGAGAATAAACCCCACGATCTCTGGCCTAACAGTCAGGACCACTAAACATTAAAAACTTGATTGAATTTCCGAACGATTGAGCAAAACCAACTTGTGAACAGCAGTTAACAGTTTGAATACTAGCTCGCTAACAATGGCGAGCTTCAATCAGAATTCAATTCATTCCTTCAAGAGCAACGAGCGGCGTAGATTTTTAAAATGCAAATGGTGAAATTTGTTGAACGTGGAAAAAATGAGTTATAGTTTGAGTTGTTTATGTACTCGTAATAGGAGTAAACGAGCAGACGAGCTACATCCCCCCCTCCCCACCCCCAGGATTTAATGAGAAGCAAAGAAATAATAACACCGGTTTTCTGCGTGATCACTCCGGACAAGCTATATGTGCCGAAACATTACTCTCCCATCGTACATTTCCTCCAATAGCTATTTTTAATCGTTAATTACCTTATAGCAGGTAAAAGTCTAACATTTACAGCTTTACATTTTTAACCGACTTCAAAAAGGAGGAGGTTATCAATACGGAAGTTTTTTTTTTTTAATACATATGAGCTCGTACGTACATACATTTTACCGTGGGAGAGCCATGCTTCGGCACGAATGGGCCGGCTCGACCGGAGTGATACCGCGGCCTCACAGAAAACCGGTGTTAATCAATTCTTTCGTTGCCTTTCACTGACTGAGTGAGGTTACCTGAGCCCCTCCCGCTGACTCGACTGATGATGAGTTTCGAAGACAGTCAACGGAACACGATTGCTGCTAGGTTTTTCGTGTTCTTTGTTAGTATTGCTCGATTGAAGTCGGTTCAACTTTTTTTTAAAAAGGATTTATCTTTTTGTCAGAAAAATATTCGTCTACTTATAAAATATTCCTTCTTCGTTAAACACAATTGTATTCTAGGTTTAATTTAGTCAATTTACATTTTATTTAAAGATTTTAAAATAGTTTTCAACAAACGATTGACCTACGTTCTCTATCCTTAAATTGGGTATAGCAAGTTACTTCTTATTTCTAGTATTCAAATTATGGGCATTGCAAGTTTTTTTAAATAAATATGTGTTCCTACCCACCATTGTATTTTTTTCAAAAAATACATATCATGATTATTAATTTGTAGTTACGTAGCCTCTCATTAGTTACTGAGTTGTAAGGGAATGTATGTAATCCACGAGTCATTTGTCTGTGCTGTGCTATAAGCCTTATAAATGAACGCACCGGCCCTAGGCCTACTAACATGACAATGGTAATCCCACGCTTAACAAGCTATCACAGCTCCTCGCTGGACTAATCTCTGTGACAGATTGCTTCACCTGTCCGTTTACTAAAGGATCGATTAGATAGGTCCACATTGAGTCCTTGACCTCGCAACACTTATAAAATCTAATTACTAATTTCACTTATTGATATATAATCATACATGTAATTCTCGCGAACATATTATTATGTATATCTACAATATTTGAACCTTTAAGATACCTAATGTTTCGACTATGTTTCACTTTCACAGGCTGACTAGCTGTGGTCACAGGTTGAATCTGAATAAACCTTTTTTTGCAAATATTTTGCAGAACAAACAGGTGATGGTAAATATCAAGATCATAAAAATATTTGAATTAGAACAACCCTTTTTTATAAAAGGTGCTCAACAAATGGCCCAGTCGGTTGGAATGTTCTGCTACACTCGTCGTAACCGAGCAATTTGTGAATACAACTTTAAGGTTTTACGAGGCACAAGCCGGGCTACAGACTACTCTCCGCTGAGTTCAAGGGCTACTCGAACTTTAGGCCACGTTTTATGAC